ATAATTACAACACACAAGCTATGCAACTGGATATACTCAGTAGTATTGAGATTAATGAATATACTGTAGTTTAACCCATAATGTTTACGATATCATAGTCACTGTTAATTAAACCATATTTGAACAGGTGCACCTGTGGAGAGTGCAGGATGATACCCACAGAGGTGGAAAGTGTGTGCTGCAAGCAGCTTAACGCTGTATGTAAAGACAAATAGTTTCCTTATACAAAATGATCATTCAAAGTATGAATACACAAGATTAATACTGGCTCGTCACAACTGAAACACCTTCTAACACATTTATATTTGTGCTGTTTCCATTTTTGTATTGCTGCGGCGGAACATAGGAGTAAACTGCTCCGAGATGCGTTTGAACAGCTCCTGAATGGCTGTGCTGTTGCCAATGAAGGTGGCAGCCATCTTGAGACCGCGGGGAGGGATGTCACAGGCGACGGTCTTGACGTTGTTGGGGATCCATTCCACAAAGTCGCTGCTGTTCTTGTTCTGAACATTAAGCATCTGCTCATCTACCTCCTTCATTGACATGCGGCCTCGGAAGATGGGGGCGACTTTGAGGTAGCGCCCGTGGCGTGGGTCACAAGCCACCATCATGTTCTTGGCGTCAAACATCTGCTGGGTGAGTTCACGAACGGTCAGTGACCTGGAAAAAGACAAGATAATGGAGTTAAGATTCATGTCACATGCATTTGAAACAACAAAGTGAGGGTTTGATTAAGTGTGTAAAAAGCATGCTTGTGCCTCTCTACCTGTACTGCTGGCTGCCGCGGCTGGTCAGGGGGGCGAAGCCCGGCATGAAGAAGTGCAGACTGGGAAAGGGCACCATAATCACGGCCAATTTCCTCAAATCGGCGTTGAGCTGCCCGGGGAAGCGCAGGCAGGTGGTCACCCCACTCATGGTGGATGAGACCAGGTGGTTGAGGTCAGCGTATGTGGGTGTGGTGAGCTTCAGTGTGCGGGAGCAGATGTCGTACAGAGCCTCCTTATCAACGCAGAAGGTCTCATCTGTGTTCTCCACCAGCTGGTGGACGGAGAGGGTTGCATTGTACGGTTCAGTGACTGTGTCTGGCACCTGAAATGTGAAAGAGAAAAGCAAAAAGAGATGAAGGATGAAGAAATAAAGACAAGATGGGCATGAGATGACATGATTTCTATGTTATGAACCTTGGGTGAGGGCACCACACTGAATGTGTTCATGATGCGATCTGGATACTCCTCTCGGATCTTGCTGATGAGCAGCGTGCCCATACCAGAGCCGGTGCCTCCACCCACCGAGTGGGTGAGCTGGAAGACCCGGAGGCAATCACAGCTCTCTGCCTCCTTCCTCACCACATCCAGGACCGAGTCGCCCAGCTCCGCTCCCTCTGTGTAGTGACCTTTAGCCCAGTTATTACCTGCTCCACTCTGGCCTGTGTGACATGCAAATACAGAGATTAATCACAGCTGTAGAGTCAACACTTCCTGGATCTGATTCTATTGGAAATATGACTCCATCACACAAATAACTGGTATTCTGTTTTGAATATATTGAAAGTTGAGCTGTGGAAAATGACTTTCAGCTATCACACTATGGGAATGTCATCAACCCAAGTTACAACACATTTCATTCTCACCAAAGACAAAATTGATCTGGCCAAAGGGACCAGACCTCGCAGAGGCCATCGTGCCTGGCTCCAAGTCCACCAGCACTGCACGAGGGACATACTTGCCACCTGGTGAAGAAAACAGAGGGACAAAATGGAAAGTTAAATCAATACCCCACAGTGTTAAAGCACTTATATCAAGCAAAGGCATGCTCATTTTGCTTTTGAGTTGATATTGTGCATAAAAAAAGGTGCTAAGGAACAACTTTTTCAGCGTCCACGGGATGAGGTGATTACTTCTAATTTTCCTGCTTGGCAACAGATTCTAACGTCTAATAATTTGAGTTAGTTAATGCAATTTCTACAATTTCTGTACTGTTTTATAACTATTAATCATTATGACTTCGCATTTTTGCAATGACATTATTGATCATATATATTTTTAGATAGCATAAAATATATGAAAACTAGTTTACTGATTAAATACAGTAATGCATCAGTTATTTAAATTTACACAAGAACTAAACAAAATACTGTGGTTCAATAGTTCATGGAGACGCTTCTACATTTGTTTGGGACATTTTTGTTGGCTGAAGGTTTGGATTTTTGTATCATGGAAACGAGGCGACAGTAACCCGCCATTCACACATACTCTGTGCGCGCCGCGGTCCGTCAGCGCCACGGTTTTGCTCCGTTGGACGGCTTGCGCCCATTCACACTGGATCCGTTTCTGGGACGTCAGCGGAGCGCACCCATGACACATCACAGGAGAACTACAAGATCCAGCGGGAATAAAGAGAAAAACATGCAAACAACATGTTGCTTTGTCTTTCTGAAGATGCATTGTTGTTAATTCGGATCCTGTTTTGACGTAATGTTGATAAAGTGATGAAAAATATGATCGTGAGTCAGTATATTGTGTTTCATTTTGAAATTGACCGGATGCTCTGTGCGTTTCCTTGTTTGACTTCCTGTCCGGGCTGTCATATTCAGTCCAGCTTGACGCGTGCCTGCAGCGTACTCCGGTGAAAATAGACTCGCTGCGTATTTGAAATGGAGCAGAGCGCAGTGCCGTTGGTGGCACGCGCCGGAGATGGACCGCAGCGCGCGCTGTGTGAACACAATGATTGACTAGAGTGACAGCTAAGTACAGTACGGTCTGTCAGCGCTGCGCACTACGTTGTACTTAGCTTCCACTCTAGTCTATCATTGTGTTCACACAGCGCGCGCTGCGGTCCGTCTCCGACGCGTGCCCAAATAAATCTCCGCTAGTAGCACGGCTATTGTTGATGTTGTAAATGATGCCTTCTGTGTCTAAATAACCAGACAGAGACGGCTTGAAACGGCGCATCTGTGACCGCCACCGCGCCAGTGTCTGGCTGCCTTTATGCACGTCCCTGACCGCCTTTACACGTTTCTCTGACCGAGTACTGCACGTTATTTTACTGCAGTTTAGAGATTATTATACGTGTGAGTATTATCAGTAACAGTATATTTCATTAGCAAGCAAATTAAACTATTATCTGTTTTCACATAGTCTCCTCCAACAACAAGAGAGATGGGGTGCCAGTGAGACAACATACAGAAAGTCACCAGAGAGGACAGACCTCTCTGTGGGTAAGAGGACAGGGGCCACACAATTGTCTTGGAGAACACAGGGCAACAGAAAAACTACAGGTATGTTGAGATATAAAGGTCTTATTTGTTCTTTGTGAATGTCTATGACGTTAAGGCAAACTTTCTAGATATGAAGAAAAAAAACACTGCTTAAGTTATATTCTTCAAAGATTTGAATGAGTACAACACATAGGAAGAAATTATCTCTAATATTAATCATGTTGAGTCTGTCACAGTTATTTTATGAGCACCATGCTGATGTTACTGCTGTGGTAAAAACCTAAAAATAAATTGTGACTGAATGAATACAGTATTTTACACATTTTACTGACATACATATTACTAATGTTTTCATGCAAGAGAGAAGACCATACAGGCTGTGCAAAATCTTGCAACATTGATGGTCAAAGTGCTGCTAAAAATTTTAAACATGTGTTAGAAGGTGTTCTGAAGATCCAGTATTAATCTTGTGTATTCATACTTTGAATGATCATTTTGTATAAGGAAACTCTCTCTCTCTCTCTCTCTCTCTCTCTCTCTCTCTCTCTCTCTATATATATATATATTTATATATATAAATTGTCTTTACATACAGCGTTAAGCTGCTTGCAGCACACACTTTCCACCTCTGTGGGTATCATCCTGCACTCTCCACAGGTGCACCTGTTCAAATATGGTTTAATTAACAGTGACTATGATATCGTAAACATTATGGGTTAAACTACAGTATATTCATTAATCTCAATACTACTGAGTATATCCGGTTGCATAGCTTGTGTGTTGTAATTATGAAAATCAGCGGTTCACACATCAAGCATGAGGACCTGCAGGTATGTAGATAAAACTGACAATAGACCTTTTTTTTATTAGCTAGATGATATTGATAAGGGTGGGGTTATTTTACCTTTATTGTGTAAATTAAAAAACAGGTACAACAGAAGGCTGTAAATGGAGCACTAGTTTTCCCTTATTATTGATCAAAAACATTTTAAACTTGACCAAATAGTAATAAAATCAAAGGCAATTACAGTGAGGATGGCTGCCTGGTTAATAAATAAATGCAAAAAGTGGTAAAGTTACATATTATTTTATTGTGGTTAGTTAAGCTTATTTCATTTGGCTAGCTATGCTATTGAGAAACAGGCTTCCATTACACATTACTAAACTAAACAAAGATGATGGACAGACAGGTCTGATAGAGGAGCTGAGGCCTCCATTGTCAGGTCATTTACATTTTTGACAGTTGAGAAGGGAATGTCTCTCCGCGAGGGGGCGTGGCTTCGGCACATTCCATGGACACGCCCACATCATCCCAGAGGAGAGAGAACAGCTACATTTTTCATGATTTTGAAGCTACAGTCTATGTTTTGAAGCCAAGCGGCAACCTCTGGTCTAGAAAAATGAAGCCTATGCGGAAGTAAAAAAAACTGCAGTTCGTCGAGTGTCTGCTTGAGGCTGGCTGCAGAAGCACCGGAAGTGCCATAAGCCCACAGCCAAAAAAGCCCGTTTTTACCACAGGAATCAACATGTTTACAGCCTGGTTCAAAAAACGAGACGGCCCCTTCTCCTCACACTGTGTGTGTGTGTGTATGTGTTTGTGTGTGTGTGTGTGTGTGTGTGTTTTATAACTCATCGGATTTTATTTTATTAAGGAAAACGGCTACGCCCATATAAGGGTTGTGGCAGATTTGATTGACAGCTCTGCGTGCTGCATCTGTCTGTCAGTTCAGCAGCAGGTCAGGAGGCTAGGTAGCAGCTTGATCTGTCTGATTTCTCCTCTTTTTTACTTCGTTTGGAGAGTTTGTTTAACACATATCTGACAAGTGTTAGAAATTTTAGTTGGCAAGATGTTGTAAGACAGAGTTTGTGTGATGTTATCACAATATCATGTTATCAAATATAAATAACATATGGAATGAAAATAAAATATAAAACACATAGATATAAAGTACAAGAAATAGTTTGAAGAATACAGCCATGTACTGAGCTCATGTTAATAATAAATGAGTTACTGTATGTTCTGTACTAAAGCACAGAGAGTTGGGACCTGTTACTGATTTAAATAATTCAGGTTATATTTGTTTCATGTTAAGATGAAGTACTATCCACAATAAACTGCTCAATTTTTCCTCCAAAATCTGAGACCATTTGATGTGGAATATCATTGTGTGAGTGAGAGAGCTGAAAACAGAATGATTACAATAAAGTTTATCTTTTTATTGATTTAATGAATAACAGCTAATATTCTCTCTTTCTTTGCCATCCTGAAGACCTCTCACTAAAAGTCCATGTTCTCCTGGATCCATGTCACATGCTTGAGCTTCTTCAGAATGACATTTCAACATTCAAAGTTCTGCTGAGAGATGGCCAGCAGCTAAGACAGCAGTACATCAAGGAGCTCCACAGGCTTCAGGATGAGGAGGAGGGTTTGCACCTTGGAAGACTGTATTCATGCTGTTCAAATAAAAATAGATCTCCTCCAAACAACTTGCAATCAAACTATTTTCTTCCCATTTTAAAACCCTTTGTCCAGTTTAGATGGGAGAAGTTGATATTATGTGATATTGATCTGGGAAGACTACATTTCTAAATCATTTTTAACTGTGTTAATAAGATCAATAACTAAGTTATTGATCTTATTTACTCTCCATGTATCTTGATTTAAGAATGGGGCTGTGTTTAAGGGCATATTTTTGCAATGACTCTGTTCCATCCCATTTTCAGAAATTAACTGAATTAGTATTTGGTAAAAAAAAAAAAAAGTCAATAGAAGACAAAGTTGTGTAAAAGTAGACTTCCTTCCCTAAGCTATTGAGTTGAGCATTAATGCACAATTTTAGTCTTGTCATTTCAAATCTGAAATGTATACTCATAAGTAGACATAAAGGAGTGCATTTATATAGAAATATTTATTTAATCTGAAAAACTACATTCAAAAAAGTCTGTTTTTACAGCAGAGATGTACCTGGTACAAAAAACAAATAGGTGTGATTAGCTCATGTCTCGATGGACACATGTTTTTCTTGATGGACACACTGTGCATTCCTGCATCGACCGCCATCGATGCAGGAACATGTGGGTGACATCACTCAGGCCATCCGGGGGAGACCTCCCTCGCAGCGAGTTATTGAAGAAGGGAAGCAACCGAAGTCCACCCCAGAAGAACCAACAAATGCAATGTTGTTGAGGCTCAGGTTTCTTCCTCTGTCTCTGCAGCTCTCTGGGCACCTCAACGGACAAGTCACCAATAATCCACACTGTGTCTATAGGAGAAATACAAAGGTGTTCAATTAATGCCCCAGACAAGACAAAATGTACAGTTAACTACATGTGACAGCTCAGGTTGTTTTCTTGTTATTAGCCACATCTGCAGGAATAATATTGAACAAGGTAGCTGCAACTCCTAATAATAGATGCCAGTCTTAATTACTTTTTTTTCTAATACTTAAAGTTTTTGGTGTGAAGCTGACACTGTCCACAGACTCCATGAATTCACAGGGTTCTATAGAAAACAAATATCTTATGATAAATACTAAATATTTATTTTTCAATTGTCATGTTCACTGTCATCGCTGTTGACATCAGTAAATATAAGACACAGACATTCCTCTTTTTGTCAGAACAGTAACATGAACTGTATGCATTGTAATATTGATTTCTTCTGGATGTCTCACATATTTATTTACAGTCTACGGTCTAACAGTAGTTTTATCAACAACAATGAAAAGAAAAAAGACACCAAAGCTCTCGTCATAAAAAACCCAAAGACAAATATTTGCATCAGGATTCTTTTTCAAAAACAAGTGGGCTATTTTAATGTGTTCAATCTACCTAAACAGTAACAGGGAAATATTTATGTGTGCATTTCCAAGGTTAGTGAAGAGAGTGAATGAAGAGTGACAATGAGGCTCTGTCGCCCCCCTTTGTGCAATGATATAGCAACACTTCCCTGTATCAAAAAGAGGAGCCCACAACAGCTCCCTCTATCACACTTCTTATGCTTTCCTGTTAAAGAGAGCCCTCTGGTGACAAATGTCCGACCTGACAACAGGGCGATATGAGCCAATGTTTTGTCTTTGGAAGTGTTTGATTGATGTAAATGACAATTGATATGTACTAAAAATGATGGGAATATATAATTAAAAAGCCTTGGAGTATTAAACAGGTCAATTCCAAAAAATTTTAAGTAGAGGGAATTAAGGACAGTGAAACATTACATTTAAAGATCCTTAATTTAATATTGGATTTTATACACCAGTAAGCATGCTAGAGCAAACCGCCATTTACTCGATGGTAAACAACTTTTGCAATGACTTATATCCTCAAAAGCAAAAACAAAACTCTGACCTTTAACCTGTAAACAATCATATCAAGCATGAAAATTATTAATCTTAAATTAAATTAATGATTGAACAAATGATAATAATCTGTTGTTGCGTATTACTGTTTACAATAGTAACAACTGTTACTGCATGTAAAAAAATAAAAGCAATAGGCCTATCACACGAACGGGAGTCTTCTTGTACCATAGGCGACAATTTTATCTTCTGCACCCTACTTGTGGCCTCGTGCCTATGACTTAATCTAAACCCCAATATCAGTACAACAGCACAGGGTTAGGGTAAGGGGTAACCTATAGGCCTACTTCTTTTCTTAAATTAAAAAGGTAACACATTTAGCCTAAATTGATTTAGAGGTCTATAACATAGGCAACATAGACGTAAGACTGAGATTTTTGTTCAATCAGTCTTTTTGAAAACTATGTAAAATGTGTTTTTAAACAGCCTACTTATAATGTAATTCAGTGACAGGGGAAAGGTTCTCCAACAAAGCTCCACCCCCCTCCCGCCAGCAGACCTGTCCTGCCCCTGGTGGTGATTAAACTAAACTAGGGGTAGGATTGTCCCTCAGTGACACTGGAAATTTAAAGCACAGGGTTTGCTTGTAAGGTCAAGTTTGTGAAACACATATGCTTCCCTAAAATAGTCCTACCTATTTATAGATATAACAAATTTAATGCAGTTATGAATAGTCAATTTGTAACGTCAATTTGTAACGTGTAGAGACAAGAAAACATATTTATATTTTCATCTCATTGTACAGTGTTCCCCTTTGTTATTTTTTGTTGTATTATATCTTTGCTTTAATACAGTGTATAGCTTCTGTACATTTTATTTTAATTTACTTAGCTGTTACTACAACTTATTTATTTTTACTTTTACTTTTTTGTACTTTTCTACTCTTTTTTTCTTATAATGCTATTCTATTTTATATATAATTTTAACTTTTTTTTGTAGAAGCTGACTCAGGGAGAAACGCACAAAAATTCCAATGTACCTGTACTGTCCTTTACCTGTGCAAATGGCAATAAACATCTATTCTATTCTATTCTTCGTGTAAGCAAAACATTATTTTACGTAATACGGTGGCTGGGAAGTACAAATCAAAATTACAAAGTGTTAAACACTTTTACAAAATGTGAGACAAATTTACATTTTGAAAAACATTTTTACATTTAAATGAAACAAAATTACAAAACCAAAAACACTTACCAAGGACAAAACAAATTTACAAGATGTGAAACACTTTTACAATCACTGAGACAAATTTACAAGAGGCAGAACACTTTTACCAGTCCCCAAACAAATTTACAAACAACAGAATCTTGACGGAAAGGGAATGTACCACGACAAAACAAAACAAACAAAATGACCCCTCACTTGATCAATTGCGGGTCACTTCCGACATTTGGTACATTCCCATTTTGTCAAGATTCTGTCGTTTGGCTGGTGGCACAGTGGTTAGTGTGCGCGCCCCATGTATGGAGGCTGTCGTCTCAAGTGGGCGGCCCGGGTTCGCCTCCCACCTGTGGCTTCTTTCCTGCATGTCATTCCCCTCTCTCTCTCCCTGATTTAACGACTCTATCCACTGTCCTATCTCTACATTAAAGGCCCAAAAAGCCCAAAAATAAATCTTAAAAAAAAAAAAGATTCTGTCGTTTGTAAATTTGTTTTATAAGATGTGATTTTTTTTTCTTGGTATAAGTGTTTTGGTTTTGTAATTTTGTTTTCTAAAAATGTAAAAAGGTTTGTCAAAATGTAAATTTGTCTCACATTTGTAATTTTGCTTTGCACTACCCAGCCACCGTATACTTACACACGAGGTTACAGTCAATTTTAATTGTAAAGGCTACTAGTCGTTGTATGCTCTTTAAGACAACCAAACGGGGTCATTGTTAGATTAAGTTTCCCTTTGTATTCACACTAACACATTATCCCGAGTAAACTGTGGTTAAGCTAAGATAAATGTCCCGCTCGCCCACCGTCGGTCCGCTTCTTTTTTTAGCTCAGTGGCTGGGAATGGGCAGCGGCGTCGCTCTTACGCAGAGATCACTTGTTATTAACGTTAATAACGTTATCTCTCGCGTCACTCAAGTCCCCAACAACGACGACGCTGCTGCTGCTGCTGCTGCTGCTGCAGGAGGAGGAGGAGGACGGGACTGCGGTTCAGGTGCACCGCTGTGATTGAGAGACACTTAAGTTTAACCGAGAAGGCAAGAGATCAAATCCACCACCGGACGGATTACACGACAAGTGTTTGTGTTTAAAAAAAGAAAAGAAAAAAAAAGCTTCACAGTGTTTTGTCGTCGCCGCTTGCTGATGCGACCTGCCGCCCGACGCTCACCCCTGCAAGGTAAGAGTCAAGCTAAACCTTAACTAACAAATGACATAAGAAGTGGGATGCTGAGTCAGATTTTAAAAGTGTAGGTGCTCTTTTGAGGAGTTTGTGCGGCCAAAAGTTAACTTCAACACCCAACAGTAGTAAGTTATTCGGTTATATGGATGTCAAATGTAGTGAAATAGTCGGTAAAGTCGTGCGTCCTGTGTGGGAGCTGGCTGCTACTAGCAACTAACACAAGTCTCCTGGTACGACCGTCCCACGTTATTACCATCCTAATTGTTGGGCAGTTAATATTAGCCTTAATGTGGGTTTGTTACAGCTGTGCACCTGCTATCTCCGCACATTGTCAAACCACGCAAAACTTGTGCTAAGTGAGTGCAAAACGGTGCAGACAACAAGGCTGCCATTGTACCGGATCAGCGGCGGATTAACGGAATTCCTTTTCTCTGCTCTTGTCTGAATGGCCTCCAGTCTCTCTTTCTCCTAGTCTTTATTTCTGCGGGTAAAAACATCTTGATTTTCTAGCTGTTTTAACCTCTGGCACTTCTTAGAGACTGTAAACAAAACCCCTCACAGCCAGCGGCCAGCAAATCAGGGGTGTCCAACTGAGCTGGTGTGAAACATGTGGATGGGACAGTGAGGTTTACTTATTGTTTTCAGGGCTTAAGAGGTGATTATTAAACATGAGGGCTGCACTTCTTTCCTATAATTAGTGATTTACCATCAAGTCTTCAGATAGTAGTGGTCATTTCCCCCCTCATTTTCCCTCCTAATTCCCATAATCTCACATTGACATCTTGCATTTTGATGCTCAGATCAACATTGTAAAACAGAACACAATTTACAATTACCATTTTCAAGGAAAGCTGAAAATCCTCACATTTAAACAGTAGAAACAAATAGTGTTTGTAATTTTTGCTTGATTACAGACACAAAAATGATAAATTAATGATCAAATATTTGTCAATTTAATTATGTCAATCAGCAGTTTGTCTAATTGTCCCGTCTTTACTAAACTGCATGGCAAGGTGAACTCAGGGTTTGTAGAGAGTTAATGAGCGTGAGAGGACTTTTGTGTCAAGTGGGTCTTCAGGGTGTTTATTGTCTGCTCTGCTGTTGTCACAGTACTTCTTATCATTGGTAGCACTTCAGGATTGCTATGTAGGCTAATAAAACTCTTAATTACATCCCACAGCCCATCATATACGGTAGAAGCTGTAGCTCAAGTCAAAGACAATAAACAAGCCAAGATTGTCTAATTCTTCCTCCTCCATTCCTCCCACCCTGTGTCCATACACTTGCACATCATGCACAACATGCACCATGCTCCCCCCTTCCCCCCAACCAACATGTGGGGAGGTAATCCCAGCTATTAGGGTAATCTCCTCAGTATGACGATCAATAGGGGAGGGTGCGCAACAACTACCAGACTAGAGTAGAGGGGGGACAAAATTTGTGCTAAAGAAAAATGATTTAATCATCCAGATTAGGTCAGGAGACCGGGGTCTGGACAGGGGCTTGTTGCTGGAAGGGGGGAGGGGAGCAGACAGGAAGATGTGAGGGGTAAGGCCATCTCCACTTTGGGCAGATAGATCCCCTTGTGTGACAATGGGCTGAAGCATTTTGTCCTCCTAATCTCAGTCGATGTAAACATAACAAAATGGCTGCATACAATTAGTAAAACAATCAAGTGGACGGTGCCAAACCTTTAATGGGAATACAAGAGTGACAGTGACATGTAAGAAAGTGAAAAAATTTGAGGAGTCTAACTATTACACCAAAAATACTTGTACAAACTGAGATTAAGGGTACAGAAAAAAAAATGAAACAACTATTTGTTTTTGTTTAAAGCATGTCCAAAAAAGGTTAAACACAAGATAAAATTGAGTTTAAGAATCTGACCCAATACATTTAATTTTGAGTTTTAAAAAATCCTGCAAGCTACTGACAGGAGACAATGTTTCAAAGAGGTCAAAGTCATTATGTTGTTGTTCCTGTGGATGCATTGTGAAGTGGCTAACAACAGCTTGAGTAGATCAAGTCCAAAATGTTGTGTTTCTAATTGTCCCAAACACGTGAATTTACACACAATTGAGAAGTGAAAGCATGCGAGTATGTCAACATGAAGAAAAAGGCTATGAAATTACCCAAGCAACAGCATAGCATCAATTGTTGCAAATGCTTTTAAAAGATTATCTTGCCATAGTAATTAATTGTTTGTTTTGGACAAATTGTCTTCAGTTTATTCTGCTTTAAAAAAAAAAAAAAAAATGCAAGTTGCAAATACACACCTGAGGAAGTTCAAGATGTAATCTTTGGCAATCACAGCAGTAAGAATTACCCTTTGATGGAACTGGAAAGGGGACATAAGTTTGAAAACACAATGTTGTGCTTCTAGACAATAGTGACCTTTTAAGCAGAGGCTTGCTGATTGTGCATCCTACCTTTGATGTTTTACTGATAGACCACTTACTGGATTCTCTGTAACGTTAGAATATGCTAGCTGTCTCGATGTCTCCCATGTTGCAATGTTCTGTAGGGAGTGTGTTGTTCAAGCTTCCTGGACATTTAGTCCTGAATATTGATTAATCCATTTGCAATT